GGGGGAGTACTAATTAACTTGCTATAACTAGTAAGTGTGTAAAATACACTGGCATATGTTGTCTAGTTTTGCAAATGTTGAAGGCTACTGATAGCTTCACACTCAAACCCAAATAGAATGGGCCTCTTTTAGAACTTCCGTACGGACCACTATTCTTCGGCCCAATAATGATTACCGAAAATGGACCAACACCAGTAGTGCCATTCTCGAAACTCTTCAATTCATCAATGGAGATTTCCTTCTGCACATGAAAATGCAGTCATAAGCCAAAAAAATTAGAAGGGAATTTGAAGGATGTTGAGAATTGCCCGCAGTCGGAGGATACTACTACATTATTATTGTTATTATTATTCCTCATTTCCAATGTGGCGTCAGAATCTCAGCTCTACCTTTAGCACAGGGGCACATCTCTCTTTTTCTCCACCAGAATCTCATTATTCACAAGGTTTTTACCACCCTTCTCTCTTACATGTTGATAGTTTCCATAGATATTTACTGACTTTCTAATATTCTAATCACAAAAATTGGTTCTTTTGTGTGTTTCTTTGAGAATAAAATCCACTGAAGTACAAACTATTTATACGTATACACACGTATCAATTCCAAACTAGTTGGGTTAACTATATGAATAATCTGCATACAAACTATTTTTATGTATACTCACATATGATAGATGGTTCGGGCACGTGCGGCGGTAAGGAGGTGTGAGCGGCTGGCTTTGACGGGTATGAGGAGAGGCAGGGGCGGCCTAAGAAGTATTGACCAGGCAGGACATGTCACAGCTTCAGATTTACGAGGACATGGCCCTTGATAGTAAAGTGTGAAGGTCGAGCATTAGGGTTAAAGGTTAGGAGATAGTTGGGTATTTTTCTACTTCGTTCTGGGTTTGAGACTAGTCTGATAGTGTTTTGTCTTGGACTGCTAGTGGTTCATGTTGTGTCCATACCACTTCCTCGTGTTCGTAGTACCGTGCCATTGTTACTGTTTGTTGTTATTGCTTTTTCTTCTATTTTCTGGTTCTTTCATTGCTGGTATTATCTTATTGGCTTCTGTTTCTGTTACTGATCTACTGTCTCTTTTCGTCTTCTTGATCCGAGTGTCATATCGGAAATAACCTCTTTACTTCTCCGGAGTAGTAATAAGGTCTGCGTACTATTGTTGGGTTGTTGTTGTTGTTTTACTCACATATGCGGTAAATTTTGTTGGTTTTTTAAATTTACAGATCTCTTCCATCCCTTTTTACTACTAATCTCACGAGTTTGATTCGAAAATATGAATAGGAAAGCTTGTCTTTTTTCCTTCCTTTTGGTAACTGACTATTTTTGTACTAAAATCTAAATTTTCTGCTTAAAGGTGACTTTCTCCTTCTTGCAGATTATCACAGGCTGTTATGTATTCTTGAAGGATGTAAGAAGTCACCAAATTTGAGAACTATAGCTGGTATACATGCTAATATTATTAAGCTTGGTTATGGAATGTATCCATCTCTTATTTCTTTGATGGTAGTGACATATGTGTCTTGTGATAAATTCATTCTTGCTCGTCAGCTGCTCGATGAAATTCCTACCAGTTATTTTGATGCCGTCTCTGCTAATTTAATGATTGCTAGTTTTATGAAGATGGGGGCAGTTGATGTTGCCAAGACGATATTTAATGAAGTTCCCCTCGGGGATTTGGTTACTTGGAACTCACTGATTGGAGGTTATGTCAAAAATGACATGTTTAAGGAAGCACTAAGTGTCTTCAGAAAGATGCTGAGGTCTAATGTTGAACCAGATGGATATAGTTTTGCGTCTGTTATTACTGCATGTGCAAGACTTGGAGCCATTGATCATGCTAAGTGGGTACACCACTTAATGATTGAGAAAAAGATTGAGCTAAATTACATTCTTTCTTCTGCTTTGATAGATATGTACTCGAAATGTGGTAGAATCGAGATAGCTAGAGGAATTTTTGATAGTGTTGATCACATGAATGTTTCTGTCTGGAATGCGCTGATTAATGGATTAGCAATCCATGGTCTTGCTTTAGATGCAATTGGGATACTCTCACAGATGGGGCCAGAAAATGTTTCACCTGATAGTATTACTTTTATTGGGCTTCTAACAGCATGTAGTCATTGTGGGTTGGTTGAAGAGGGTCGGAAGTATTTTGATCTAATGAAAAGTATGTATCTGATACAACCGCAACTTGAGCATTATGGAGCAATGGTTGATCTGCTAGGCAGAGCTGGACTGCTTGATGAAGCTTATACAATGATCAAGGAAATGCCAATAGAACCTGATATAATCATATGGAGGACATTTCTCAGTGCTTGTAGAATTCACAAAAACTCTGAGATGGGTGAACTTGCTAGCACAAAAATATCTCATCTTGGCAGCGGAGATTATGTTTTACTGTCAAACATTTATTGTTCTACTAATAAATGGGATAATGCCGAGAAAGTTAGATATGTGATGAAACGGAAAGGTGTTCGAAAAAGTAGTGGGAAAAGTTGGGTTGAAGTGGGTAATGTTGTTCACCAGTTCAAGGCAGGTGATCGATCACACCCTGAAGCCGAACTAATATATAAAACTTTGAAGGAATTGATTCATCGAACCAAATTGGAAGGATTTAGTTCCACGACTGAGTTGGTTTTGATGGACATTTCTGACGAGGAAAAGGAGGAAAATTTGAGTTACCATAGTGAAAAATTGGCATTAGCCTATGGGATCTTAAAATCTAGTCCTGGAACTCGCATTCAAGTTTCAAAAAATCTTCGGACTTGTCTAGATTGCCATTCTTGGATGAAAGTGGTAGCAAAGGTGTTGAATAGGGAGATCATTGTGAGGGACAGAATCCGCTTTCATCACTTTGTAGATGGTTATTGTAGTTGTGGGGATTACTGGTAGTGATTCTTTGACGTAACAATTGAGTTTGGTAATTGATGTGACGTAGACAACTTATAGTGGATGTCTCAAAGCGTGTGCCTCTTATCTTGCCTGTTTCTAGCATCCTATCTGCTGTGTGCACTCTTTGTACTAGCACCACTTAGATGATGACATCCTGAAGTATTCGTTATGTAAAGGCTTAAAGCTCATCAGGTTACAATCAGTGCCAAAATGGCTTATTTCCATATGCTGCAGCTCCAAGCTTTGTTATAAGACATCCCTGTCTATGGAAGAACTCACTGAATATTACATCCAGGTGAGTTCTTAAGTTTATTTTCTGGTCTTTGAGGAATGAACACTCTCTTTCATGAATATCATGTCTCTACAGAATTGTTTGAATCTTTCTCTTTGGATGGAAACTGGATATATCTTGTTATTGTGTAATTGCTTAAATCTTTCTCTTTGGATGGAAACTGGATTAGATTGGCAACTTAGACAAATTGAATATGGAAAAAGTTAAATTACCTTGAGAAAATTGCAGTCTCGAGTTTGTTATCAAATAAAAAGTAGCCTTAAGTAATCAGTAGTTCACATAATTTATATATATAGTGGACGAAAAGCTTCATTGCAGGCAGTGCAGTACTCTTGACCTTATGAATTTCTTGGACGGGGGAGGATAGTGGCTTTTGTTGTTCCAGAGAAAACTTCCAGTAGATACATGAAAAAATCTACTTATGAAAAAAGGGCACATTCATGTAATCGTTTCTTCAAGAGAAGAAAGTTGCAAGACATGTGACTGTTGAATCTAATTTCCACCTGCAATTTTTTAGGTGTCAAGGGTAGTCAAACATTTTGGATTGTGACGTAAACTTCTGTAATAGCTTCTCTAATAGTCCAATCTTCTTAAGCTTCACTTTAGATTGCATTTAACCTTATACACACACACAAAAAAAAAAAAA